GACCCGAAACTGCCCGAAACTTATTTTTTATCCTGGTCGACATGGTTTAACCCGTATTGACCGAGGTACTCGGTTTTGATCGAAAGATGCGGTTGACTCGAGAAAATATATTTTAAACTTTTTTTATTTATATTTTTTTTGTTATGAATAATAAAATAAAATAACATTCGAGAAAATCTTAGTGAATCTAAAATTGAGTTACAAATGTGAGGTCATGGGATAAGCACTCATGTACATGTTTATAAAAATCATGAGATAATGAAAATTATAAACACCAATATTGTTCTTCACATTTATAGATGCAAAATTCTTTGACAGTCTTGTTTTTTAATATTAATTATGTTGACTATTTTTGTTATTGCATTGTGTAAATTTACTCTTGCGAAATCCAACCCCGCAGCAACCCAAGACCCGGCCAAGTGTAAAGAAAGGTTAATTTAGAGTGAACTTGTTTGATTTTGTTGATTTGGTGGATGAATTAAAATTTAATTTAAATTTTTATTGTTTTAAAACAGTATTTTAACTTTTTTTCTTAAAAAAATTATAATTAACCTCAATTGTATTCTTATACTGATTCGGACTCCAAATCAAGTTTGGTAACTTTATTTTTGGTATTTTTATTGAACCTATATTTGAGATGTATTAAAAATATATTTGACATGAAAAAATATTAAATTAATTTTTTTTTAATATTTTTGATAGTTTTGATATACTAATATAAAATATTAAATAAAAATCTAAAAATATTATTTTTATATATTTTAAAATAAAAATTAGTTTTAGACTCAGTTAATAACACTTATTTGTTATCGATTGACCAGAGTCATCAGACTATAGTTTTGAAATCCAGCTTGATGGGTCGATACGGGATCCGGTTAACCCGAGACTAGAATCATGTCATGTTGAAGAAAAAATATTGTAAGAAAAAATCCATTATGACTCGGCGAGTTGATCCAGTGACCAGATTGCAATCCGTTAATTTTGTTTTATTAAAAAAATATTATTTTAATTTTTTAAAAAATTAACCTGAATAATCTAATGACTCAATTAAAATTCAGTAATCCAAACAAAACTTAGAATTCGAGTCTTGATCCATGCCGGGTCTGAAAAAGCATAATACTGAGTGCCGCACGTGCATTTTCTGGTATCACTATAGTTTGTCAACTGTATATAAGATTTTTACATCCATGCCCAAAAGGAAAGGCATAACCAGCAGCCGACGCATCCTTGATAAGCGAAGGAAAAGCAATAAAAGGAACCGCTGCCTTACCAGAAATCAAGAGCTGTAATGAAAGTTTTTTGGCAGCTTGAACACAAGCAGAGACTGTAAGAAGCTACAATAAGGCCAAGCAGCAGGGCCTCCTTAACAAAACATCAGCACAAATTAATGCACACCGGTACCTAGCTAGCCTTCCATGAGATAGAAGCTAGTATTTACTTGTAAAAGGGCTCGAGCCCAACCCTTGAATTAGTATATTTAGCTTGTATTCGATCGAGAACCAAGCATCACCAAGTTATGGAGCTCGAATTGGAGAGTGGCCAAAAACAGAGCCAAAAATCTTGACTTGTTTCGCGACCCGAACCTTGCAAACATGTGTTGCTGCCCTGCATTTGTTCTTCAGCTTGTAAAACGCGACCTTGTCACCAGCTTTAAGATTCTTGCATGCAACGAATGCAAGCCATCCCCTTGTAAGAACTGGTTTGGGATGCCTTGTCCTGCGAGTGGAACATTTGAAGGCCCAGACACAGCCACTTTCATCCATAGCTTGAAACTCTACAGCACGATCACCATTAAAAGATGGGAGAGAGCTGAGATACTTGGTTGGCACCGAGAGTCTCTTTTGGACATCCGTCTTGCTAAGTATCTTTGCGAAGTTTTCCATTAGCTCGTTTTTTAAGCCAAGTGAATATCTTATCAGAATGGCCTCTAAGTTGGGTTTGGTTGGAATTTATATGGTCTCGAGCTCATTAAATTTTGCACGAATTTGCCATCGAGCGATTTGCAAGTGAAAGAGACCGGAGCCGTGCGAGTCTTTGTATGGATGTGGTAAGATCGAGGAAAGAGGGGAGAAGAAATAATTTAAAAATAAATCGTACGACATTTTGTCCTGACCCTTTATGGTACCAAAAAGTGATTTCAGAACCAATCAATCACGTTTTACGTGGCATTCCACGTTGTCTGGGACATGAATCTGCGTTCACCTGGTTAGCTGTAAACCAAGGGTACCATGCGGGCAGCATCCATATGTTTCCAGAAGTTACTTTCTTATATTATTATTGTTTTAGCACATCTTTCCAAGTTAATTATAACGTAGGGTCCAGATTTTAACGTATAAGTAATACCCTGTCTTTCAAAATTTAAATTAATAAATAAAATTTTAAAAATAATTTTATATTATTCTTTACTATACTATAATAGTTAACATATAAACTTGTCCAGAGATATCATATTGAATAAAAATTATCTTAATCCTTGTTTGGGACAAATCTGGTATGATGGAATTCATTTATACTTTTTTTTCTATTTAAAATAAAACAAAAATAAACATTGTGATTTTACTTGTTTATCAAACAATTAAGGAAAATAGTACAAAACGTTGGGTTTTCCTTAGGGAAGCTTTTCAACCTGCTGTTTTCATGTTTACTGTTTCATTATAACTTTTTTCATGTAAATGTCTTCCATCCACCTTTTGGCTTTCTTCTCCACAGTGAATTTGTTTAATGATTTTATTGTGCATGAGAGCCAATGATATTGAGTGGAGTCACTAAAGATGGTAGGCCTAGGCCTCGGACTTACGAGCTCTGAATTGGTTATCTAGAGAAAATCTAAGCAAATCCCACCCGAATAAATGGGATTTAACTTTATGTAAATTGTCAAATTTTAACAGTCGGATTGATTTCAGCAACCAGGTTTTGGCCTGAGAATTTATTAAAGTTAGGTTAAAATATTTTACAAGAAAACAATTTTTAGATTTTTCATATTTGTTTCTAGAAAATATTTTTCTTTGTTTATTGCTTGAAAAATATTTTATAAAAAAATAGTCAATGAAAATATTTTACAATCAACATTTAAACTTAACTTATCTACTAAAAATTATTTTCAAACTTCTGATCTTTTGATCATTAAAGTTCTAATATCATGTTAAAAAATCAATTCAATTTAATAATTTAAATTATTAAATGATATCACATAATATAATTTATAGCATTCCCTAACAAGCACTATCATTAGCACTACTATTTCCTCCCCTTTCATCATCATCTCTTCACCATTTCATCTCTTTTTATTACCATTATTATCTCACCACCACCTCATCTCTCTCCATTATAACTATTATTTCATCATCATCTCCTTCATTTTCATGACCATTATTATTTATACTATAAAAAAATTAAAAAAAAAGTTAAAAAAATATTGATAATAAAAAAATCAACGAGATAATTTTTTATGGTAGTATTTCATTGTTGTTTTTGTCATTGTGTAAAACACTGGCGAAACTTCATAATACATTGATGAAATATACTGTCAGCATTTTCTAATGTTTTTTATAGTACTTCTTTACCACTACAATCATCTCACAATCACCACTACTATTATTTCACCATTACATCTTTCATCATTATTATTAAAAAAATATTTTATTTAAAATAAATTAGTCCATGATGTATTTAAAATTAACTTTGGCCTCTCTTTGAGATTCAAAACTCCAAGGGAATACATTATTCCATCTAATTAGCATAAATATTCTATTCTTTAATAATTTTTTTGTTATCATTTATTTTATTTAATGGAGAACCCTTACATAAGAGTAAATCTTAGAATTCATAAGCATATAAATATTAAAGAACTATCTTAATCTAAAAACTTAAGCTATTAGATGAGGTTCTAAAATATGATTTATATTATTTTTTAATATATCTTTTCAAGTATAAGCTCACATTGACTTGTACTTAATTTCTCTCAAATAAATAAGAATGGTGAGATTTAAACTCGTGATCGTTTGATCATTAAGTTTTTGATATTATGCTAAAAAATCATTTTGACGCAATAGTTTAATATATTATTATTTAACACACCCTCTCAAATAAAAATTATTTAAACTTGAAATTTTAATAAATTCACACTACTTTATACTCAATTTATTATCTTGAATATACTAGAAATTAAATCTAAAACATATACTTTTGAACTACATATATTCATTAAAGCACTTAATCACAAACAGAAATCCATAAAATTATACACCAAGACACCTTAATCCAAGAACTTAACCACTAAGGCAAATTAGTGTTTGTAGGTCTCATTATGATGAGTACATGACAACAATAAATGTTGAATTAAATTTTACTTTATGGTTAGGATTAAGGCAATAAAATCATAAATTGGATTAACCATCTAATTATAAATACTTTGGGACAAAGGTTTTTAATAACCTTGATTGTATTTTGAGTGCAATCTTTCAACTTTTAACTAAAATTAATGAAATGGTTTAGAGACATATAAATTTATTAGTTAAAAAAACTTATGGAACAACTAATCCATCAATCTGCTTTTTGGTTTTTATTCACTTAATTCATTAAATTTTGTTATTCAAAATGAAGAATCTAATATTGTTAGATGAGATCTTTAAAATGATTTTATATACTTTAATACATATTTTTAAAATGAAAATCTTTTGACCTTTAAAATTATACAAACCCAAAATTATCTCCTGCTGATTTTTTATTTAATTAAAAAAATAAAGAAATAAAACTATAATTTGTGAATATATGATTGTTAGCATTCAAATACCAAGTCAAAGAAATATATTCATTCTTAACTCTCTTGAATAAAGTATTGTTAAATATTGTACTCTAGTAACAATTTGTTTAAATTTAGTGAACCAGTCAACATCGTTGAATTTTTAAATTACTTTAAAAAGCTTTAGGAGTTTGTTAATTCAGAAGAACAATATTACTAAGTAGAACTGTTTAGTATCTGTTTTATTAAGCTTTATTTTCAAAACCCTTTTACAATACATGTAATCTTTGATTACATGAGATTAAATAATTGAATCCGCAAATGTTTCTTGAATTTAGAAATAGCATAGTGTTTGTTTTGTGGATGAAATTATTTTTTAAAGTTTTTTTCAAATTATTTTTTATTTAAAAAGATATTAAATTGATTGTTTTTGGTGTTTTTTTAATGATTTTGATATTTTATATCAAAAAAAAAAAAACTGAAAAAAATATCATTTTAATAGAATTTCAATTAAAAACACTTTATACTATATTACCAAACAAACATTAAAGTATTCCATCGATGAACAACAAACACAAGTGAAAATATATATTTCACACCATTTAAAGTCATGATAAGAACTGAAACCCTCAATTCAGCTGACCATAAAATGCCTTCTCAAAAACCAGTGAGATCCTACTCATTTTTTCTGATAAGCAAAAACAGATAGCGCCATGATCAGTAGGCCAACAAAGGAACCCAAGATTCACAGATCAACAGATACAGAACATAAAAGAAAATGAAAGAAAACCAAGCAAAGATTTCAAGGAAACAGTGACATCTTGCTGATATTAACATCTGGGTGGCTTCCTACACTTGGAACTCAGAGCAGTAGTTTTGCATTTGCAACGTTACCAAGACTTTTGAATGTCGTATTACATCTCATTTTCCAACAAAAAGACAAATAAGTCACATTGTATGGGTCCTATGCAAGGCTAAGCTTGGGAAAGGAACCTTTCTTTCTCTGACGAACTAGAATCAATCTAATCTTATCCAAATTAACCCTTGAAATTGACCTTTAAAAATGCTTTGCAATTGTCCCTTCTAGGACTCATGCATCGACTAAAATGGTTCTTGATTTCCCTTGGGGTTCTGCGACGTGGGTCGAGCAGGTTGGAAAATTGTGTTGGTGGGTGGCCATGAACAAATACGCGATGTGTGATCATGGCTTTCGTCATAAACGGAAGCTTCAATCACAACGTGGGTGTCGTCCTCTTTCCCTTTCTCCCACTAGCAACCGACCCTGAGCCACATTTCAAACTCTTCATCCAATTGTTGCCCAACTTTCTCCTTGTGGTCGGTCAGGCAAAGTGTTTTCTCCAACGCAGTCAGCCAGCTTAAGTAGAATTTCTAATGGCTAGTGTCTGCCAGTTCGCATAAACGACCCCACGAAAGCAAGCACCTAACTGAAAGATTAAAAATCAGCTTTTTTATACATGATAGATGTTGAGATCCGAATATTAAAAATAGCAAGTTAAAATTATTTGGAAAATTTTAAGATTCATTTATACAGATCTAAATTATTTAAATATTTATTACTTGAAAATTTAATTTTTAATTTTTTAAAAATTAAATTATCACAAATCACAAATCATTTAATTATCTGATCTTTAACGATAATACATATAAATTACCAGAAATAAATCTTTTAAATAAATATTTAAAAGAGAAGGATTGTTATGCTTAAAGTATTAGCTCTCTATTCTATTACTTACATAGTTTTTTTTATCTAACAGATAACTATAAAAAATAAGAGTTATAATTTTTTATTTCTAAAAAAATATGAAAAACCATATAAATTGATAAAATATCAATTTTTTCCTTGAATAATATCTATATATTAATTCAGGATAATTTTATAAATTAACTCAATTAAGTTTTTACTTGATTTTTCTAAGTCTAAAAATATAAATTAACTCAATTAAGTTGTTAATTTATAAATATATTTTCAAGTCATATTTAATTATATCATCCTAATTTAATTTATTACTGATGGTTCTTAATGCGTGTGACCTACTAGATTCCTAATATATTAACCCAAATATAAACTATAATTCTAATTAAAAGGAATTAAATAATTTTAATAATTATTAATTTAATAAT